GTGGCGTGTACAGTATCAGCTAAACAGTGACTTATGCTCCACTAAACCGACTGCCAAGTACAACAAGTGCCACATGCCTTTTGTCCTTCATAAGAGACGGGCATAAAGTCCTGTTTACCGGTTCTGGATCAACATAGTTGATAGGTGTGTATGCAAGCATTATGCACATATTTATTTGTGTGTGTATGTGTGCGTAGGTGCACAAGCATATGTCTTTAAGTACGAATGTAGGTGTCTGTCTGTGAGGCATCACTATTTTCTAATATTCTATTTCAAATTGAAATGTCAATGGTTTCATGTATAAGCAGATTTATTGAGATGTGAGAGATCACAGTATTCAGCTGGTATGGAAAATAAGTTCATTGGGGCTGCTTGGGAGTGTGGAAGGGTCTTTGCAGTTTTTCAAGAAAGATGTACATAACATGTCTGTTTACATCTAAAGCAATGCTTGTGCCTTATGGTAAAAAAAAAGCCCATAGACATTTCAGATTAAAAAAATGAGCCACTTTGAAGACACTAGTTTCAGAATGAAATGTCATTTAACAAGCTATATTTTTAAATTGATGGGAAAATGGAAATGGTCATTATATTTTGCAGCCAGGAACAAATTGCGTGGCTGCTAAAGTATGGGCATCTCATCATGTGATCACTCAGCAGTTACCAGCGATAACAGGGCCCATGTTACTGACCACTGAGAAAATGCACATGCAGGAGGGGCAAAGAATTTCTTCTCAGGGGGAAAGGGGTTGCAGGGATATTTTCTGAGCGTGTTCATTTTCTAGTTGTCAGAAGAGGTCATTTGGGCAGGCTCAAAAAAGGGAGAGAGGGAGAAATGAAAGAATAACAAACCCCCGTGTCAGCAGATCACAATATTCAAATCTCACCCCACACAAAAGCAGAGATTTCTGAATTTTCTGTAAATATGGGTGTGTAAAAATAGGCAATAGGCTTTTCTGCAGAAGCCCAACATTTAGGTTAGTGTTAATTGAATTAATACCTTGCCAGTCTTTAAATACCAGGTCAGATGTCATTTTAAAGCTGCAGCTATTAATTAAGCTATTAACTCACACACCCATTTGCTCATCCTCTTCCTAACCCACCAGGGCAAAGCTCTTATACCGAGCGTCAGTTCAGGAATCTCAGCTGATCCCCTGAGCACTCGGCACTCTGTTGTGTGTGTGTGCGTGCGTGTGCCCAGTCAGACACCATGGGAGTGTGAGGTCACTGTGGATAGGTCTTCTAGGAGGGGAGATTGGCAGGAAGACAGCATGTACAGTATGAGCTTTTCAGCTCTTTCAGGTTCCCTGTCTGTTACGCCAGTGAAAATCTGACAGTATCTCAGACCTGGATGTATTTCTGCCTCATACACACACTCTCTTGCTTGTGTGGGACGTACTCTGGACTCCCATTTGATTCCTTGCGGTTCTTCTCTGCACTCGAATTAAGCTCCACGCGGGAGTGACACATTTATTCACTCATAATTGAGCTCCACAATTTTTCCACGCTTTTAGATTTGAAAAAAGATGCCATTATCTTTAGAAACTAGAGGTTATTTCCACTGTGGGGGCACCAGGGCCCTGTGTGTTTGTCAGGTATTTGAGGAGATCTGTTCACGTTTTGTCCCTATTTTGTTAGTAACACATGTCCGTGCACACATGCACACGCACACACACAAACAAACACACAGGAGTGATTTAGACCTCTGCGTGGCTGTGTTTTAATTGTGTCAGCACTCCTTAACTCACCGAGGCTAGATAATTAGATTTCTTTTTAGATAAAGAATTCATCCAGGCCATTTCGTGGCACAATCAGTGCATGACGCCCAGGTGTCTCTGTGGAGGAAAGCCCACAGAGCGCTGTTGAACATGACGACTCCACCTGGGGCCCCGGAGGCTTCTGACCCGGGAAACGGAACAGACTCTTCCGATATTAGTG